TATTTCCATAATAGGCCTACGAGTGTTACAGTATGAATGCTATATCGTATGGATTTTGCTACAATAATATAGTAATCTATCTAGAGATGTTCAAACAAAAGTTAAATTGGGAAGAAAGAAAGAGAATAATGCGAAGAAAGAAAGACAAATATAAAGTTGACAACTACTTTAAAATGTAAATTTTAAACTGAGAGTAATTAAGTATCGTAAATTACTAGGCTGTAATACAACAGGTCCTAACACACAAAAATACCCCAGTCAAACAAAACAAATAAGTGTATAAAATTAAGGTGCATGGAAGCAAAACACATATTGAGGAGGTGTGATAATTATTCTTTTCGTTACAAAAAGTCGTTGAAATTTAGCCACGTGTTGCGATTTACCTGCCGTATTTGCAGGAGTGATTAAGCAAGTACACTGTGGAAGCAGAGGGGAGATTTTCAAGACTAAAAAAACAATTCAAGGCAAACACTTCAACAGAATTTACTCGGGCTTACAATGATGTTAGCTTAGTAGCATACACGTTAGTAGGCCTATAGTGAAAATCATGGTCCCCTGATCATTTTTGGGGACAGAGTTTCTCTGCTGATTAAGCATCACTAAGGTATAATTATAAATTGAGCTGAGGGGAGTGGTAGTGAACCGCCAGAAAAAGGACGGAACACATTAATTGGTGGCCATTTTCAAACTGGCCGCCGAAATTAAGATATTGCCATTAGTAATATTCAAGAAAAAAGGGTAAATCTGGTGTCTAAGGATATGTTATTGAGGTCACTGAATTCAATGAGACATGTATCAAAAACCTAAAATGGCAGTAAAGTAATGAGCCAATCTGAATTTTGGTGGCTATTTTGAAAATGGCCGTAAAAAATGTGTTCCGTCCTTTTTCTGGAGGTTCCCCCACCCCGATCATTGTTTGAAAATGTATACCCTAGTGATGCTAAATCAGCAGATTTTCACTATACTTACGTGTCTTTAAGTCAATGAGGTCTTTTGTTTCCTGCAATGGTAGCAAGTCAATTTGGGATTATCATTTTGCATAATATGTTATATGACAGCTTCAGGATATCATTGTAATAAAGGAGAATATCTTCTTGTCCTCCTAATAAAAGTTTTCAATATAGAAATTAAGGCAATGATCATGTAGTGCAACAGGTATATTTTATGTACTGTAATTTAAACATTATCGTATTAATATTTTTATTGTAATTGATTTGAGTGATATGAGGTGATAATTACAACGACTTAACCTCCAATTAGAACGGTATCATGTACCAATTATCATCATCATCGTCATCATCATCATCATCATCATCATCATCATCATCATCATCATCACCACCATCATCACTACCATCATCATTCTTATCATTATAATTATGAATAATAATGGTAGAATCCTGGGTAGATGTAGACCGTTTAAATGAGGATACACCGGCAGGGACACAGCTTTAAAAGAGCTTGAGAGGAGACCGTGCAATGTTCATTCACGAAAAGTTTAATTTTTGACAGCTAATTTCTTAGCCTTACAACAAAAAATACTGAGAATTTACCACTGCGTGTGTATACACAAAATTTGTACAGTGAATGTTCATTATTGATTATCATTATTAAAGTTACTATAATAATATATTCTATTAGAAAACATGACTAATAGTACTTAATAACAATAATATTACGGTATTACTGTAATAAATAATGACAGTTTAATCATTCTTATAATACAATAATAATTCAATAAATATTACTAGGCCTATATTATATTATATAATAAAAGTCAACCAATGAATCAGTCAGTATCAATTGAATTGTTCAATGAATCAATCAATCAATCATCCTTACTAAGTAGCATCAATTGGACTGCCGGGCATACAGTGTCTCCCGCCATCTATTGGTAAATGATGTCCCGTTATAGATGCCGCGTTATCTGAAGCTAGAAACGCAATTGCGGATGCAACCTCGGTGTCCTCCCCGGGTCGGCTTAAAGGATGTTGCCGTTTGCTTCTCTCAAATACCTTCAATTTATCAAGTTAAAAAAAGTACATTTGATCACAAATTATTTCGAAGTATTGCGTTTTTAGTGCGAAATCCGCATCAAACTTTTATCCTTTAATACAAAATGGAACATTTTTGTACACTATTGATTATGTAGTGTTAAAATTAGATCTCACCTTTTCCCATTTCATGCCTCCCCTCTCAAAAATTGGAGTGGGGATAATACCAGGACTGTCACCGGAAATGAAAGAAAACAAATATTTGATGAGGCTAAAATATGTATTTGCATGTCCACAGCACACATTAAAATAGGTTAAGCAAAACAACTGGAAAAATACTGAAAAAACACCCAATTATATGACGCACCACAACGTTGGCTTGTGTGTGTCACTGTGGTGATCCAAGCAATCAATCAATCAACCGCCGATCAATCAATCAATCAAAAATGCTGATGTGGGAAAGGATGATAGGATCTCGTTTTGGATACAAAATTGGTAAGCAAAAGCTGTAAACGTAAGTTAACAGCCAGCCAGAAATGGAACCAGGACTTTCGGACAGCGCGTCTAGTTTTTCACCATGGCAAATAAATAAAGAATTATCTAAAATATCATTATCACATAAAAGCGGGGCGTGCGCAAATTCAGTCAGTTTGCCACCGACAATCAGCAGACGGCATGCGTAGTCAATCGCTCAGCGGAAATGGCCGGAATCGTCGTACGACGCTGTGTGTGCCCGGTTTAAGAATAAACATAGTTTAAAAGTGTAACTTACCAAACAGAGTTCACTCGAACTCCATACGGTGCTAATTCTAAAGAAAATAATCATAAGAACCATCAGATAATAATAGTTATATTAACAAGATGATAGCAATGTTAATAATGCTGATGATAATGATAATGATGATGATGATGACGATGACGACGACGTTGATGATGATGATGATAATGATGATGGTAATATTAAGTAGGTCTATATTATAGAAATTGCTTCATTAACAGTACAGTCAACAGTGAAACTATACAACTACACACTACCACATAGTCAGATTGACTTATATACAGGTAGAACTTGCTTACCAACAGCTGCGTTTGTTGTTAGCTGATCTACCATGTATTTTGAAATACCGTAAAAAGTATTACAGCTCTGAAAAAAAGAAGAAATTACATAATAATAATAATAATAATAATAATAATAATAATAATAATAATAATAATAATAATAATAATAATAATAATAATAATAATGATAACAACAACAATAACAATAATAATAATAATGTCAAAGTAACGTCGCTGTCTCAATGAGGCAATTTACACGCAGATAATCCACAAAGGGAAGCATGCTGGGCTCGGGCACTTTCCACCACAGGATAAGCCTGTGGCTCCACTACCGTGCGCTGCCTAGACAACGACGACACCCTGAGTAAGGAAAAAGTGAGACCACACCTGAAAACCAAAATAAACATCCTGCAAAATTTAAACGGTCATAAAAAGGTAAGATTTAAAAACGTTTTAAATGATTCAACCGAGTCAGCGTTTTTGATATGATCCTGAAGTTTGTTCTAAAGTGTAGATTGAACAAAATGTAAATGATCTTCCACCTAATGTGTATAAACCAAGCGTGTTATAATTTATTTTATTTGCTTGAAACTCATGTACAGTGAGTATGCACTGCACTATATCGAAAAGGCCGAAACTTTAAAAGAAGCCCATTGGGTTTCTATTCAAGGTTTAACTTGGGGTGGGGGTGGGGGTGGTAGGGAGGAGAGAAGGAATATGTTCAAGTGAATCTCTCTTTTTTGACTTGCCATTTACCAATGCACCTTTCCGCTGAGCCCTACTGCACCTGGCTGTTGGTGTTACAAACCGACAGCGCAAACGCAGTGGCGTATCTGGGAGTCTTGAAATGGGGTTGCTGATGGTGGTGGGGGTGATGGGAGCGAAGGTGAAGGCCTTGTTCTGATTGCAACTCCGAACAGGTCCATTGGTAAGTATTATGTAGGCAATCAACTATGCTGCCGGTTTACAACCCTGTTTAAAACCACCACCCCATCGCATTACTAACCCTATCTTTTATTACGCAAAGGAATAACATTTTTTTAAATCAGCACTTTTTACATGTGATGCCTCTCTTTCTACCCAGCTTCATATCTTTGCAAGCCCCTACACCTAATGAGAGCGTTCCCTAAGTAAGCCCAAGTCAGTATGCACACCTCATATCACAGAGTAAGTTCATATAATATGAGTCAAGTACTATATATTATCAGAGATCTATAACTTACCGGTACTTTGCTTACGACGCTTGAAACATTCACAATAGTTCCTGAAAACCAAACATATTTCATAAATAATAATAATAATAATAATAATAATAATAATAATAATAATAATAATAATAATAATCTCATGTAAAATTGTTTTGGAAATTATTCGTTACTTTACCTTTTGTTTTTATTAAATGTGGCGACGCCAATTGAGTCAGGTAGAACACCGCCCTTACGTTAACATCCATGGTGGTATCAAACATTTCCATTGTGCTTTTTTCAAGATTTCTAATTTTAACGATGCCAGCGTTGTTTACCTTTACAATAAAAAGCATCCACAATGTATTGAGACATTTAAAAATATGTTAATACTTGTGTTTTATTGATGAAAATTAGTTTTGGAGTATTTAAAGTTGTTCCGAGACGTTATATAACCAATTATGACCCCACCGATAAAAAAAAAAAAAAAAAAAAAAAAAAAACAAACCGGGGGGGGGGGGGCTCTAATCTTCTTAAGGACGTGTACCGGTATCTTTTTTCTTAGTCAATTACATTTTATGGATTATTATCAAATAACATTTACAATTTCTATCTTAACAAATACACAATGAATCTCACAATCACTTATCTCTTGCTTTATACACTATTTTGTCTATTTAATAATTTATATATTTTCTTTCACTTGATTGAATTGATAACTCTTTTTCGGCCTTGAGTGAGCTACTGAGAATAGGCAGGCCTATATTATGGAATATCAACCAGCAATTGATTGGTTGATAGATTGTTAGTTTTTACCATATTATTAACGCTTATACATTTCATAAATAAGGTATCTTTAGTTACCAGAACGTCAAGCCGGCCGAACCGTTCGACGGTCTCGAGCACAATCCTCTCTAGGTCAGCGTCACTGCTCATCTCACCAGTTTGCAGCAGAATCTGTAAAATACATATCATATATATAATAATGATTATAATGATGATGATAATAATAATAATAATAATAATAATAATAATAATAATAATAATAATAATACTGTAATAATAATACCGGTAATAATAGTAGTAAAAATCATAATAATAATAGGCCTAATAATAATAATAATAATAATAATAATAATAATAATAATAATAATAATAATAATAATAATAATAATTATAATAATAATAATAATAATAATAATAATAATATGATTATTATTATTATATTGTTCTTATTATAGTTGTTGTTATTCAAATATTAAATGTGAAACGTGTTGTTGGCTAGAATTTTACCTGATCTGCCTGCAGCCCCCACTGCTGGCAGTCTTTCCCAACGCCATTCAGCCTCTCTTCATTCCTACCAGTTAGCGACAAGTAACAGCCTAACGATGCAAAATGTCGGGCTACGGCTGCTCCTATCCCAGAACTTGCCCCTTGTGGATAAATAATAAATCATTCAAGAAATATCAAAATTGTCTATTTAGGACCTAGCCAGCCGATCCAACCCAGGAAAGTAGCTTTTTTTTCGTAGAACAGGCCCGATTGGTAATATTGTACCTTTTGGCTACACAACTTAAGTTACATGTATAATTTTCTTCCACTTACGTTCAAATGAAGAATATTGCAACGATTGCAAAAAATTAATAAATTCTTACCAGTTATTAAAGCAACTTTTCCTTTCAACGATGCCATTTTCCTTGAAATATCATAGAAGCTGAAGGTAAAAATGAAACCAATTTTCAGTTGAAGCAACGACTATGCCTATAACATAATCATCCTTCAACCCGCAATACTTTTATGGAATAATAAACAATCTGTTGTCACCGTACAACCCTCTACCAGTAAAATGTTTCGCCTAAAAAAAAATTATCAAAGTTTTTTTTAAGTTGAATCATAGTAATATAGTAATCAAGTAATATATATCTCGCAATTGTTTTCTATATTTGACTCTTCATTGTGTTATTTATTCATTTTAACACTGTATACATTGTTTCTCAATGTGTTTCATTACACGCATGGTAAAATATACTCTCGATTAATTCGAGAATGGCGCTCATGTTCACTATTTTTTATGAATTATGAAAATAAAGGTATGATAGCCCCATTAAGTATAGCTTATTAATTGGTCTTCTTAAAATAAGCGGCCATAAATTTGAAATGTTGAATTCGAGTCAACTCGGCCCCAAGTCAACTCGGCCCCAAGTCAACTCGGCCCCAGTCAACTTGACCCAAAATCAACTCGGGCCCCAAGTCAACTCGGCCCCATGTCAACTCGGCCCCATGTCATTTCGGCTCCAAGTCAACTCGGCTCCAAGTCAACTCGGCTCCAAGTCAACTCGGCCCCATGTCAACTCGGTCCCAAGTCAACTCGGCCCTAAGTCAACTCGGCCACAAGTAGTCAACTCGGCCACAAGTAGTCAACTCGGCCCCAATTGACTGTGTATTTACTGAATATTTGCCAAAAGAAATTTGAATGCAAAGTCAAAATTAAAGTGTTTTATATCGTTGCCTTTATTTCTTTTCATTTACCCACTTATAACAGGATTACATTTACCACTTACATCATTAATAAAAATAATATTAGTAACAATATAAAAAGCTTCAGGGTATCATTGTAATAAAGGAGAATATCTTTTTGTCAGCCTAATAAAAGTTTTCAATACATAAATTAAGGCAAAGATCATGTAGTGCAGCAGGTATATTTTATGTACCGGTACTGTAATTTAAACATTATCGTATTAATATTTTTAGTGTAATTGTTTTGAGTGATATGAGGTGATAATTACAACAACTTAACCTCCAATTAGAACGGTATCATGTACCAATTATCCTCATCATCGTCATCATCATTATCATCATCACCATCATCATCATCATCATCATCATCATCATCATCATCATCATCATCATCATCATCATCATCATCATCATCATCATCACTACCATCATCATTCTTATTATTATAATCATGAATAATAATGGTAGACTCCTGGGTAGATGTAGACCGTTTAAATGAGGATACACCGGCAGGGACACAGCTTTAAAAGAGCTTGGGAGGAGACCGTGCAATGTTCATTCACGAAAAGTTTAATTTTTGACAATTTCTTAGTCTTACAACAAAAAATACTGAGAATTTACCATTGCGTGTGTATACACAAAATTTGTACAGTGAATGTTCATTATTGATTATCAATAATAATAATTTACTATAATAATATATTCTATTAGAAAACATGACTAATAATACTTAATAACAATAATATTATTACTGTAATAAATAATGACAGTTTAATCATTCTTATAATACAATAATAAATCAATAAATATTACTAGGCCTATATTATATTATATAATACAATATTAAGTCAACCAATGAATCAGTCAGCATCAATTGAATTGTTCAATGAATCAATCAATCAATCATCATTACTAAGTAGCATCAATTGGACTGCCGGGCATACAGTGTCTCCCGCCATCTATTGGTAAATGATGTCCTGTTATAGATGCCGCGTTATCTGAAGCTAGAAACGCGATTGCGGATGCAACCTCGGTGTCCTCTCCGGGTCGGCTTAAAGGATGTTGCCGTTTGCTTGTCTCAAATACCTTCAATTTATCAAGTTAAAAAAAGTACATTTTTATTTCGAAGTATTGCGTTTTTAGTGCGGAATTCGCATCAAGCTTTTATCGTTGAATACAAAATGGAACATTTTTGTACACTATTGATTATATGTAGTGTTAAAATTAGATCTCACCTTTTCCCATTTCATGCCTCCCCTCTCAAAAATTGGAGTGTGGATAATACCAGGACTGTCACCGGAAACGAAAGAAAACAAATATTTGATGAGGCTAAAATATGTATTTGCATGTCCACAGCACACATTAAAATAGGTTAAGCAAAACAACTGGAAAAAATACTGAAAAAACCCAATTATATGACGCACCACAACTTTGGCTTATGTGTGTCACTGCGGTGATTTGGTGAATCAAGCAATTAATCAATCAACCGCCGATCAATCAATCAATCAAAAATGCTGATGTGGGAGAGGATGATAGAATCTCGTTTTGGATACAAAATTGGTAAGCAAAAGCTGTAAACGTAAGTTAACAGCCAGCCAGAAATGGAACCAGGGCTTTCGGACAGCACGTCTAGTTTTTCACCATGGCAAATAAATAAAGAATTATCTAAAATATCATTATCACATAAAAGCGGGGCGTGCGCAAATCCAGTCAGTTTGCCACCGACAATCAGCAGACGGCATGCGTCGTCAATCGCTCAGCGGAAATGGCCGGAATCGTCGTACGACGCTGTGTGTGCCCGGTTTAAGAATAAACATAGTTTAAAAGTGTAACTTACCAAACAGAGTTCACTTGAACTCCATACGGTGCTAATTCTAAAGAAAATAATCATAAGAACCATCAGGTAATAATAGTTATATTAACATGATGATAGCAATGTTAATAATGCTGATGATAATGATAATGATGATGATGAAGATGACGACAACGTTGATGATGATGATGATGATAATGATGATGGTAATATTAAGTAGGCCTATATTATAGAAATTGCTTCATTAACAGTACAGTCAACAGTGAAACTACAACTACACACTACCACATAGTCAGAATGACTTATATACAGGTAGAACTTGCTTACCAACAGCTGCGTTTGTTGTTAGCTGATCTACCATGTATTTTGACATACTGTAAAAAGTATTACAGCTCTGAAAAAAAAGAAGGAATTACATAATAATAATAATAATAATAATAATAATAATAATAATAATAATAATGTTATATTTATATAGCGCATATTGCATATATGCGCTTTACAAAGAAATAGGCTAACCGAGAAAATTCAAATAACATTAAAATAATAACAATAAAATAAAATAAAAATTAATAATCATAATAACATTAATAACAATGAGACTAAGCTACTCCTATCCTTTAAAATAATTAATGGTTGGCCGTTGACTCCGAGGAGCTCATCCGCCCTTTGTTCAGCTATTGGTTTTTCTTGCTGCTGGGTGACCATAAACATCCTCCCCTCAGCAACCACTAAGACATATCTGAGAGGGTTGTCAGTTTAGTCGTCGACTCTTCGACCGGATGGAGCTTAATGTCGCACCCAGGACGTTCCTAACTACCTTAAGCTATGCTTAACTTCTCTTAAATACTGTATATTACTCTTAACTACAATTGGCTAAACTATCCCCCGCCGGACACCATCCCGGTATTTAGCATACATGAGGGAGAATTCTGAAAATATAAATTTAACGTTTACACTCAAAGGGAAAACAAAATTAGAGATCCGAAAACATTCTCTGGGTAACTTAAAGAAAATTAAGATTGTAAGGAAAGACCAATGTTCTATAATAGAAGCACTGAGCTTCTTTTTTTCGCGACCATCGAGATGGGCTTCTTTTTGAGGCTACTAACATATAGATTCTGACAACGAGTGTCTTGGCCGGTTAAGACATTTAGTACGCGTCTTATCCTGCATTAAATCACCTAATAATGATAATAATAATAATAATAATAATAATAATAATAATAATAATAATAATAATAATAATAATAATAATAATAATAATAATAATAATAATAACAACAATAACAATAATAATAATAATAATAATAATAATAATAATAATAATAATAATAATAATAATAATAATAATAATAATAATATAGCGCCTAATGTTAGTAACTTCTAGGCGCTTAACAACCACATAAAGCAGCGATGCTGGAGATGGTGACATTCAAGTAGTCTCACCCACCGATGTCAAAGTAACGTCGCTGTCTCAATGAGGCAATTTACACGCAGATAATCCACAAAAGGAAGCATGCTGGGCTCGGGCACTTTCCACCACAGGATAAGCCTGTGGCTCCACTACCGTGCGCTGCCTATGCTGGGCTCGGGCACTTTCCACCACAGGATAAGCCTGTGGCTCCACTACCGTGCGCTGCCTAGACAACGACGACACCCTGAGTAAGGAAAAAGTGAGACCACACCTGAAAACCACAATAAACATCCTGCAAAATTTAAACGGTCATAAAAAGTTAAGATTTAAAAATGTTTTAAATGATTCAACCGAGTCAGCGTTTTTGATATGATCCTGAAGTTTGTTCTAAAGTGTAGATTGAATAAAATGTAAATGATCTTCCACCTAATGTGTATAAACTAAGCGTGTTTTTAATTTATTTTATTTGCTTGAAACTCATGTACAGTGAGTATGCACTGCACTATATCGAAAAGGCCTAAACTTTAAAAGAAGCCCATTGGGTTTCTATTCAAGGTTTAACTTGGGGTGGGGGTGGTGGGGAGGAGAGAAGGAATATGTTCAAGTGAATCTCTCTTTTTTGACTTGCCATTTACCAATGCACTTTTCCGCTGAGCCCTACTGCACCTGGCTGTTGGTGTCACAAACCGACAGCGCAAACGCAGTGGCGTATCTGGGAGTCTTGAAATGGGGTTGCTGATGGTGGTGAGGGTGATGGGAGCGAAGGTGAATGCCTTTTTCTGATTGCAACTCCGAACAGGTCCATTGGTAAGTATTATGTAGGCAATCAACTATGCTGCCGGTTTACAACCCTGTTTAAAACCACCACCCCATCGCATTACTAACCCTATTTTTTATTACGCATAGGAATAACATTTTTTTAAATCAGCAGTTTAGCCTCTTTTTCTACCCGGGTTCATAGCTTTGCAAGCCCCTACCCCTAATGAGAGCGTTCCCTAAGTAAGCCCAAGTCAGTATGCACACCTCGTATCACAGAGTAAGTTCATATAATATGAGTCAAGCACTATAT